CAGGCCACAGGAAGACCGCCTGGCGTGCCAGCGTTTGCTCCCTCGGCAGCTCTGTCCACAGAGCTGCTGTGATTGCTGCTGCTGGTGTCAGCCTGTGGTCTTGGGGAGGGCGGGGATCCCGGAACCCTAGAGCAGTAAACCTCCAGGATGAGCCAGAGGAAGGGCTGTCACTTGGGCCCTGTGCTTCCAACAGCCCTTCCCACAGCGTGAGCTGTCCTCATGGCAGAGCCACCTCTGGGCTACCTCTTCTTCCACAGGGGCCTTTGCAAGGGCTTGACTCATTCACTAACGTCAGCGCCAGTGTCCTGTCTGTGAAGGCCCCTGCACTGCTGCAGGAAGCCCTCTGCAAGCCCTCCTGGGGCTGCAGGCTCAGTGCTGTGTCGAGGCCCAGTTGGCCCAAGCCAGCAGCTGGGCTCTCGCTGTGCTGAGCTGTCAGCTGCCCTCTGCAGCCTGTCCCTGGCCACCCCACCATCTGCAGTCTCCCTCTTTGAGGCCGATGGCATCCATGCAGTCCTTGTGGATCTGGGTATTCCTTCCTGCCCCGTGGTCTTCCTGGCAGGTCTCTGCTTTGCTTAGAAAATATCTGTCATCTTGTCCCTCTCCTCCTGGCAGGTGCCTCTTACACACCACCTCAGGTGCTGTGGCCGTGCCGACAGAAATCTCTGTCCTGGAAAAGGACGAACAGTGCGCATTCAGACCCCAGAGATGTTTGGAGCAGCTTGGAAGTGGAGCGCGAAGTCCGCCTTGCCCAGGGTGGACTGCTGTAGTGACCACACAGTGCGGCCCTCTTGTTTCATGCAGGTAGATCTACACCCATAGCCACTTAATAATTTATCCTAATAATCTTTGTATCAGTTCATAGTTCTTTAAAAATGACAGAATATTCCACTGAAAGATGTACTGAAATTTATTCAATGACTAGCTCAACAGATGAGAGTGTTATTTTGTTTTTGGACTTGTACACGACACTGTCCTGAATATCTCTGAATGAGATTCCTAGCTGGGACACTTATGGGTCAGAGGACAAATATGCTTCAACTGTGATATTCGAGCTGAGTTACCTTCCAGGAGATTGTCTCTCACCCACTCCCTTTGCATTTCAACCAAGAGCTTTCATGTTTACCCAACCGGACACCTTTAGATTCCTGTGTCTACCTTGCACACAAAGTGTCATTCAGTGGGCTTCACAGGTCTATAATTTTCGGCTAGAGTTGAAAATTCTCATGTGGAGTTGAAATGGTTAATTTTATGTGTCAACTTGACTGAGTCGTAGTGCCTAGAACGTGGACCAAATATTATTCTGGATGTTTCTATGAAGGTGTTCTCTATATAGTACAATTAACACTTAAATCTTAGTGGATTTCCATAAAGCAACTTACCCTCCATTATCTGGGTGGGTCTCATCCAATCGGTTGAAGGCCTGAAGAGGAAGAAGATGGATTGCCCTGAACAAGAAGGAATGCGACCAGCAGCCTGACTTGGACTTGAACCCTCCCTGTCCAACCTGGACTTGTCGAGCCTGCACAACTCTGTTGGCACTCTCCACACCCACGCTGTTCTGCTGTCTGCAGACCCTGACGCTGCAGGGCTAACGGAAACTACAGGGCATTTTGCGATGGAGAAGGGGAGGTCCTGAGGTCTTTCCTTTCTGCTGGTGCGAGGCTTTCTTCATCCTCAGCCCAAGAGCTTAGCTTCTCTAGGTTTGTGTTTTCTGAAATGGAGTTTGTGGGCCCAGATAATGTTTCAAAGTGCAGGGAGAAAAAACAGAACTTCTATTTTTATTTTCTCTGATCTTTTGAAATGTTCTGTTTTCCAAGTGTTTCACAGAGCACAGAGACGGAGCACAATCCACCTTGCACCTCACTCGCGAGATGAGTCATCCATCAGTCCTCCTTGATCGACGCACAGGCTGGAGAGCTTTCTAGGAAACAACTGAGTGGCCAGGGGAGTTGCGAGSCCACCCTTCGACAGCAGCCCTAAATTCCCCTGCATCCCTCTTGTCACGGGGCGGTTCATTCTTTTTTTTTTTTTAAATTTATTTTTATATTTTATTTTTAGGTGGACACAATCTCTTTTTTAAATTTATTTTTTAGTTTTAGGTGGACACAATATCTTTATTTTATTTTTATGTGGTGCTGAGGATCGAACCCAGTGCCTCATGCATCCAGCCACATCTGGAGCCCCTTTTGCTTTTTACTTTGGGTCTCAGTTGCTTAAAGCCTCACTAAGTTGCTGAGGCTGGCTTTGAACTTGCCATCCTCCTGCCTCAGCCCCCTGAGCCGTTGGGATGACATTGGGTGCACCACTGCTCCCAGAGAAGTGTTTATTTTTATGTGACAGAAATGGAAATCCATTTCTATATGCAACCGGATGCTCTCCTGACAATCCCAACGTGCAGAGGGCAGTTACATCCTAGTTAAGAACAAATAGGATAGACCCGCATTGGATTAAAATCTTCCAGACACATGGGCATTTCTTGGTGGGTTTGCCGGCTCATTTCTTCTCCCCTGGATTTTTTCATAGCATGATTTTGGGTGCACACCTCTGTTGACTTTGCAGACCACACACCTGTTCCCTCTGCCATCCATGCCCAAGGGATGCTTTGTAGCAGCAATGCTGAAGGATGTAGGGCGCTTCAAGCTGTCACTTGCCTGGCTGAGGTGCTGGCTCAACTGCAGTCTGTCCCACGTTTGAAGGGTGGCAGGGAAGGTGGGAAACCCGGTGGCCAGCAACCCAGAGTGAAGAGCTTCCTGTGCTGCTGTAAGCACTCAGCCTCTCCTTCTGGAAGGTGTGTCAACGGACTGTTGGAGGAAAGGACCACCAAATGGACACATCAATGTGGACACTGGTGTTCCTGTGCATTCAGGCATGAGCTCAGGACAAAGGCTACTGATGCCGGCGATAGTTAGGCCCTGTCCTCTGCTAACTTCCTCTGAGTTTCCCCCATGGCTCAGCAGTGGGCTGACCCCATTCTCTGACATATGTCAGGCTCAGCCAATCAGGACAGCATTGCCAGGTGACCTAAGCAATGGGAATTTTGCAGAGATTAAGGAGAAACAGACATTTTCTCTCCAAGGAGATTTATTAAGGTAGCCAGGTATGTGTGTCATTGCTGGGGACCCTTCTCAAGACTCTGCCCAGCAAGGGGAAAAAACAGAGTTCAGAGATGGGAGGGATGGAGAGCAGACTGAGATACTTTTATCTGTATCTCTCTTCCCTCACCTGGTGCAAGGGGTTTGGTTGAACCTCCAGGACATCAGGACATCTTCAGGGGAGGCTTGGGGCAGGGTTGTAGATGTCTTCAGGGACCTAGGGAGCCTCATGAGTCACCCCTGCTGAGAGCCGCTCCAGGTGGTAGTTGATAACAGGATAATTGACCCGGAAGCCAGCATTTGTTTACCAAGAACAATGAAGCATAATTTTAGAAAGAGAAGGCAATCAGACTGTTCACACCGTGTGGGAGCCTGTTCACACCTGGGACCTGAGGCCAGTCAAAAGTGGTAACTGTGAACACTTTCTTAGCAGGACTGTTATTATTAGTCTTTCCCGTGGACACAAAGTTTTACAAAAACACTTGGGGGGGGTGTGTAACTGTGCTTTGTGCCTGCAGTTTGCACCTCCCAACAATTTTAAATAGCACACAACCCCCCTCACCCTGAGGGTGAAAAGCCAGCAGCAGCTCCAGGTGAGGAGTGACTGAGATGGCGGCTATGGCATGCCCACACAGTCCAGGGGGCTGGGGTCAGCAGGACCAGTCAAGCAGGCTGCAGGCCCAGAAACCGGCCCAAGGCCTGAGGAACTGAGCCCTGCTTCTGCATGAGTTAGTCCAACTTATATTCRAAATGGATGCTGAGCAACAGGATTCTAGTTCACCGGATTCTAGACCCAGCCTTTCCCCTTTCAGCAGGAGATCTTGCTGAGCAATTTCTCTCCTTTCTTTGACCCTCCTCCTGGCCTCTGGAGAAGACTGGTCCCTTTTAAACACCACTGTCTGTCCAGCGCCCATGATCCCTTCCTTGGAAGGTCTTTAAGGTGCTTTTGCTGTTAAATGCCCAGGACCAGCCTGTGTCTGAGCCTCAGTATTATTCTTGGCCCTTAACCTGAACAGTGGCCAAGGCTCGGTGTTCTTCTGCGAGGCTTATGGTTCGGACAGTGGGGAGATCGCTGGGCCCCAGCATTATTCCAGGGCGTCCTGAACCTGGATGGTCGCAGGGCCTGGGTGCTATTCTGGGTAGGAGGCTTAACCGTGGCGGCTGGATCCGGCCCCAGCTTTGCCCTTTCTGCACCGCGGGCGGAGTCCAGGCGGAGGACCTGTTTTCCGGGCGACAGGGGCTCCGAGGCCTCTCGTCCGTCGCCAGCACGCGGGGCGGGGACGCGAGGAGAGCGAGGGCGCGACCCCGGCCAGCGCGACTCGGTCACCGCGGGTTCACATTCCACGGCGCACCTGCCCGCCAAACAGGAGGTGGGCGAGCACCAAACTCAGCCGGACCCCCAGGCGCACAGCGCAGCCCAGCGCGCGTTACTACAAGTCCCAGCAGCCTTAGGTGCAGGCGCGGGACGCGGTGGCCGGACTCCGGGGGGACTACAAGTCCCAGCATGCACGGGGCGTACGCGGGGACTACGAGTCCCGGGTCGCTTCGCGCGAGCGGCGCAGGGCATCCTGGGATGTGTAGTCGTCGGGGGAGCCAAAGCCTATTCACTTGGTCCTGGAGAGGATGCACATTTCTCACACTGCCTGCTGAAGCGATTTCTCCCCACTGGCGAGCAGCCCGGGCGTAAGTCCGGGAAGTCGGCGTTCCAGGGAGCCAACCCTGACAGGCGAGAGGGACGCGTGCGCATGCTCATCAAGCACATTCCAGCGCCAGCGCGCGCAGAAGATGCCAGCGCCAGCCCCGCCCCCGAGGCCCCAGACCCGCCCCAGCCCCCTGGGAGGCTGCGCGGAGGGTGGGGCGCGGGTCGCGGGGAGGTGCTCGCGGCGCCTGCGCAGAGCGGCGGCTTCTCTCGCGAGGACGGACGCCATTATCGCATCTCCCCGACAAACACCACGAGAATTCCGCAGCCCACACGGTAATTGCAGCTCCCGCAGCCGGTCGCGCCTCCACTCCCCCTTCCCGCGGGGCGAGAGCGAGAGCGAGATCTCCGTCCGCCCCCGCCCCGCCGCGCCAACGGCCGCTAACGGCCGCTCTTCGGGGCCGGACGGGGGCCGGGCGGTGTCCGCCGTCGCGCCCGGGAGCGGGGCGCCGAGCTCGCGGGCCCGCGTCCGCCGGGGCCGAGTCCGCGCGTCCCCGCCGCCCACGGGCCGCGCCCCGTCTCCGGGCMGCCCGCCCGGCGCTGGGGCCCGACCGCGCGGCCCGAGGCCTCGCGTGGGGCCGCCTCGCTTCCGGTGCGGCCGTCCGCGGCGCCCGGCGTGCGCGGAGGGCGGCCCGGCGCCCGAGTGCGCCCGCACGGCGGCATTGTTCTGCGGCCGCAGCGCTCCGCTTCCTGGGCGGCTGTGTGGCTGCTGTTCCTAGCGGCCGCCTCTTCTCCCTGCGTTTTCTGCTCCCGTTGGCTCCTTACACAGTGGCTCCTCCGTGCGGCCTCCCCGGCCCGCTCCCTCTGTCCGCTTCGGTCACTCCTCAGCCCTGCCCAGGTGCCGGCCCGTAGTTTCCCTTATCCGCACCTGGCTTGCTTTGACCGTGCCCTGCATCGCTTCAGTGGGAGCCTCTTCCAGGTATTCTTCCTCCCCTTGGAGAGGGAGCCTCTTCCCTCCCTGGGCGTCCTTAGGATCTTGTCTTAGGCTTTATGACAATTCATTAGTGTGCACAAGTGCGTGGAGTCCCACTCGAGGGCTCTTTGACCCTGCTGCCGTCCTTAAGCTCTGGCACTTCTCTGGAGTCACTTGACAGCTTTCCCCTAACGTTTGGCTCTTTCCTCTTTGAAGAATTCCTGTTAGTGGGTGATAAGCATTACATTCACCTCTTGAACCTTGTCTTCACCTTTCATTTCTAGGGAGGACTTCGATTTGTTTTATAATCCTGTTTAAAAAATTTTCCGCACTCCTGGGGGTTGAACCTAGGGGCGCTTTACCGGTGAGCTGCACCCCAGCCCTTTTAGTTTGTCTTGAGACAGGGTCTTGTTAAGTTGCTTAGGACCCTGCAAAGTTGCCCAGGCTGGCCTGGCACTTGTGATTCTTCTGCCTCAGCCTCCCAAGTCACTAGGGTTATAGGAGTGTGCCATGGTACTTGGCTTTGTTTTRAATATTTTTTCTACAAACTTAATTTCTAAAAATGTTTGTGTCCTGTCCTTTATTATAATAGACAACTGTTTTATGAATGTTTTATTTCCTAGACGCTGAGAAGTGAGGATTCTTTTAGGTTCTCTTGTGTTTAAATTTCTTGTTTAATGGCACTTTTTTTTTTTTTTTTTTTGGATAAATGTTGGCTTCTTGCCTTACATGGTAGGTCCTCCTCCAATATTTGCATTATTATTGTCTAAGGCAAGAGGAAACTGGCACAGAACCCTGGGTCTGTATGGGGCTGGTTTTGAAAATGGGTGGGTTTCCTCTGGGAGCTTGGTACAGTGGGACCTGGAATTCCAGATTTACACATTTTCTTTGGGCTGTGCATCTTCTCTCTAGAAAGTCCTCTTTGCTTGGGGTCTACTCCACCTGTCTTTGTGGGGGCCTTAGCAGAGGCTGACTTTAGGAGGCAGGCCTGGCCCCCTCTGCCAAGGTCTTCAGCCTGCCCATGGGCTTCTGTGGGGCCTAGAGCCCCACTCCCTGTGTTGCCTGGGTTGGATCCTCTGTCAGAAATTAGTGAAGCCTTTTGCTTGCCTCCACATTCTCTTTCTTGTGGGTTTATTATCTCTATTAATAAAAAAAATCATTGTAAAAGAATAAGTTGGTCAGTCACTTTGAGCAGGAATTCAAAACTTTTCTTCACCCCACTCTCCTACCTCCTTGAAGTCTTGGTGATATGTCCACCAGCAGAAGGGAGAGGTGTCAGGTCCATACTTCTGTAGCTGTCTCAAATTGACAGAAGGGTTCTGGCTCTGCAGACTTGGAAGGGGCTTCAGGCTCAGCTGGGGAAGGTCAGTCAGACGTGTGCAGCAAACACTGCGATTTCAGACTCTTGGCTTCTCCCTGGACCAGGTACACTGGGCCGAGCTGGGCTAGGGGCTCAGCACTCCGCAGTTTGAGGCACACCCGCAGTCAGTGATGGCTACACTTGGAGCATAGCCCCGGTGCAGTCCAGTGAGTCTCCCACGTGCCAGTTGTGCGAGATGATTTTAGCTCTGTCTGCCAGAGGCTTGCTAGCAGAATGGTCCACAGCATCGACCAGCATTGCATTGTTTGAGTTTATGAAATCACTAGATCTATGGAATCAGAATTTAAACTTGGTAAAATTTTAATTTCAAGTAATTTTTAGTCATTACAGAAAAATAACAAAACTACTTTGGTCTATTTCCCTACTCTCTTCTCTTGCTCCCCTAATGTTGACATCTTACATAATGAAATAGCCATATAGAAACCAGAAACAATATCTTATTGGGGCTATTAACTAAGTTAAAGACCTTATTCAATTCAGTTTTCTACTTTTTTTTTTTTTTGATACTGGGGATTAAACCCAGAGGCTCTTATCCCCTGAGCCATATCCCCATCCCTTTTTGTTGTATATTTTTTAGAGAGGGTTGCTGAGTTGCTTAGGGCCTGGCTAAATTGCTGAGGCTGCCTTTGAACTCTGAATCCTCCTGCCTCAGCCTCACAAATTGCTGGAATTACAGGCGTGCACCACCATGCCCTTTTTTGTTTCAGTATCTAATACAGGTCACTACTTATGCATTTAATTGTCATGCCTTTTCCAACCTGTGGTTATTTACCTAATCCCAAAGTATTACCATGGTACTACCATGGTATTTATAAATAAAATAGTAACTATACAGTGGAAAAACTCAGCAGATGCCACCTGAAGCATACAATCAACTACCAATGTTAACATTACTGGTAATGAGACTTTGATGTCAACCCCCCATGATGTAGGCCGAGGACACATCACTTCTGGTGCTGGTGCCAGATGTGCAGTCTTGTCAAAACGAAATGTTGAGGGATATTGATAAAACTTTGACCAGTGTTCCTCACAAGTGTCCTGGTCCTGAAGGTCAGAAACTCAGAATTTTTGGTAAGAAGAGGACCAGGTGATGCAAATGCACATTAACACTCAAGAAAGACCTCCGTGCCAGGAAATAAAGGCCCAAAACCTTGTTTTGTGAGTTGGTGAATAGGTGCTCAGGAGACATTCTAGATGAGTTTGCAATGATGGTTTTATTGATGGCATTCGGTATGGCTTATTTGTCTTTTTTCCTCATAGTTGTCATCTGTACTATGTAAATCACCCAACCTTAGTTGCATAAGTAAATTAATTGTATGACACGGAAGTCTTTGACTTTTAAACATTCATGTAACTTACAGTACCCCTTCAGCTGCTGAAATTCTGAAAAACATTTTCTCTGGAAGAAAATATTCTCGGGGAGAATATATACTGAGGGTCTCTATAAGAATGTCCAGATAAAAGCTTTAAAAGGTCCTCATACTCATGGTAAATAAAGATTTTTATTGTTTTGCTTTGTGTGTATGATAGTCATAAAAAAAGACACCAGGAACTGTTCAGTAGAAGTGCTATGAACCGTTCTGAAGTGTCCCTTCTGGGGAGGAGCTTTAGGGAATTCAAGAAGCAAATACTAGGAATCACTTGGTTTCAATTCTGCTGTTAAGAAGCCACGCTTGCTTGAGCTCATTTTGCCCCTGGCAGAAACATGCCAGGGTAGGCTGTACACCCTGCCAGCCTGCAGGCATCTGCTCCAAAGTGAAGTCCTCCTCTCATCTTTATCCCTCTGGGCCTTGGCTTTGACTCCATGGGTCTGTTGCACAAGACTGCTCTGCCCACCCCTCTGCCCTTACTTCTCAGGAGCAGAGATACAGAAACACTGATCCCTTCACTTCAATCCCTGGTACAGAGTGAAGTGCTATCCTGTGTGGATGGAATAAGTCAGTGGAGCTTGGAACTGGCCCTGGATCCCAGTGGAGGAGCTAGCATCTCTGCAGCCTGGAGCCTGGAAATATTCTTGAATTAAAATATAACGGAACATTGACATACACAAGCAGGTTGTATGCTTGAAATACTGTAAAGTCATATGAAATTGGTGCCTATTGAATTGACTTCTCTGCATCTGTGTGCCTGATCAAGAGCTGTCCAATTTACATGTGCTGGAACATCGTCCCCCATGGTGGAGTGGACAGTGAGATTTGCTTCTTGTAAGGAGCTTTGTATTTGGGAAAGAGAAGACAGAAAAGGCCAAAGAGGGTGAAAAGACTGGGATAGATTTTAGCTAAACCACTGGGTTGATAGGGGGAATGGAGTGCACGTGAACTCAGGCTACCGTTACCTTTCCTCAGGTGGCCTGTTGCATAGAAAGTGACTGAGTGGGTGGGAAACCTGTCTGGTGGGGGCTTTTGCGGACTTGGGGCAGGGCCCTGTGCTGACAATAACCTTTTAGTAATAAAGACCTCTGTGCCACCAAGAATGCAGCTGTGTCTTCTAGTGATTTTTCCTTTTTTTTTTTCTTCCTCAAGATGGAAAGTCATCAAATGAAGCAAAGTTTAGTAGGAAATGGGTTTGGATAAAATGAAGTGAAAACTGTGTGTGCTGTTGGTATTTCCTTGTTGGTATGAACTACGTTTCCTTCAAACGTAGCAGAAAGCTAAGTCATCTTAACCTAAAGACCCAGGGGAGGCGTTAGGCCATGGTTCTGCTGCCTTCGTGAAGAGCAGCTCTGCAAGCTTGGGCAGTAGCTGGCTAGGCTAGGGATGGCCTCGGGTGTCCATGGCTCATTGGTGGGAGCCAGGGATGGTCCTGGGGAATGGTGCACCACTGCTGCCATGCTACCCTTGCACCTGGATGCCTCCTGAAGATCTCAAGTGGCTCACACCTGCATGGTTTCAAACCAAACCTGATAAGCCTAGGGGTCCTATTTCCAGTTAGATGTTTCTGTGGTCAGCGGGCACAAGCAGCTTGCACATCGTGGTTACACTG